CATTCGGTGTAACTGGATGCGAATAAACCTGACTGATTCGCACTCTTTGTTAACGGTCCGTTAAAAACGAGCCGATCTATCTGATAGTGGCTTCATGCACACCCAGCAGCTCCATTTCTTGGATGAGGATATTGTGATCGACTAAATCAAAACCTTTACTGAAATCAGTAAAGAAGATGCGTGCACATAAGTGTCACCTTGGTCAAGGGCCTTAAGGATTACTTGGAGGAAGAAAACAAGAGCGTGGGTTGTGGACTTCCCGGCAAGGGCAAACTGGTGGGTGTCGAGCTTGTCACAGACTTACTTGAAGAGGGAATCCAGCGTAAGCCCTTCCATGACCTTTGCAATATGGGGCGTGAGAGTAATAGGCCGAAGATCTTGTTCAGCTACTTTGGGTGGCGAACATATTGGTACAGGGACAACTTGGGATTGCTTAAGAGGCACAGGGACGTATCCTTGTACCATTGAGGCATTATAGATATTAGTGATGACTGGTGAAAGTTCAAAAGCAAACTCTTTCCAGACTTTCCCCGGGATGGGATCAGGCCCCCCTGACTTGTTCGATTTAATGCCTCTCAGGGCCTTGTATACCATACCTGTGTCAACCAGCAGGTGTTCAGGGGCCGGGGAAAATGAACCAGGGATAATCAGAGGCAACGGCACAAAGTCAGCAGTAAGACCAAAAAGATGTTAAAGCTGTTAGCCAGCACCCCAGTGGACTCTTATTGATCTCCAAGCATTTGCTGCACCCAACTTTCCGAACACCGCAGCCCAGTAAGGCCTTTGATTTCTTTCCACCACCGCCTAACGTTGGTTTAAGTTTAAAAACTTTCCGGTCATAAAAGCTGCTTACTCTCAGGTTTCAATCTGTCCGTATTGTTATTCAACACTGTAAATGTTGTTAACAATCTTCTAATCACTTGAAAAACACTAAGTTAATACTGATTTCTTTTTTACATAAGCATTAAAGCGTTTTAGGAACGATTTATGCAGCAGTAAGCATTGACCTCCGTGCATCCGCATTGCCCAGTACACGTGAAATGCGAATTTCTGCATTTACGGGCAAAAGTTGCGGAGCTAGTGGTGCACCAGCATGAAAACAAGCTTCTGGAATTGAAAGACAGGGACCAATCGATGGCTTCAGCTGGCGTCTAGCCTGTCTCATCTGCGTTCAGAAGCAACGGTTTCGCATTGTCTGCCTGACACCAAACCGAAGTATAAAAACAATATACCACTTTAGCTCATCAGGTTTTGTAAATACTGGGACACTTTTGGCGTACACGACTTGAAAGCGTGGTCAGTTTTGTCGGCAGACCTCAAGCTTGCCTAACGATTTGTTTTACTTGGGCCTCTTTGCCAAGCAGCTGCCGGTGTTGCGTCGAAGGTGTTCCATCTAGTGACGAATCGCTGTTGCCAATGTTATCAGCTGTGAACTTCGTGAAAATTTCCGGGTTTAGATTAGGTGCGACAACGTTGTAGTTCTCCTTATTTAAAGACAAGACTGGGTCTTGCGCTAGTGAGGTGTCCAACTTGAGAATTTGCCTGTAGCTGCATATGCCTCGCCTTGTGTAACAGTTCTACTAACAGCCTTGAACGCATCGCCTGATAAAGGGTACTGCCAAGGAACTCCTGCTCCATCACTAGCAGCAAGCACAATACCGTGTGCAATGCTTAAGACAAAAATGTGATGGTGTTGGTCATTGCCAGCACTATCAGCGCTCTATTTAAGCTTTAGATCCCCGAACAGCAAGTTTTAAAAAAAGGTATTGTATAAGCTGTCTGGCACAGAGCTATCGCTGCCTCTTCGAAATCGTCAAATCCCTGGTGCTCCGGGGTATCCATCAGTTCCCTTCTACGTTTTAACGCGACATGAATCAACGGCAAAAAATCTTCTTCTTGTAGCTCATAGTGAGGCTTGGTGAGCATTTCGTCATCATAGCAGCGTCATTAGGGACCTTAAGCATCGACAACAAAACGGACGACGACGACGCTTCGCAACCGAGGCAGACTGGGGCAAGGGTTTCGTTTTCGGCGGGGAAAACGAAGTTTAAGCAGTGCAGCTTCCAAGACGGACGACGACTTTTTCTTAGCGAAGAACTTTGTTTTGTTACAGTCTTGTTAGGGCATTCAAAGACGTTCGTAATTTGCATTTTATAAGGTATGAAGATGGTTTAATCGACGATGGCGAATTCATTGTTCTTTAGGACCTGGATTATTTGATTGTGGAGGCTTTCTCTTCGTCGCGCAGCTTTTGTTTTTGTTTTGAAATGAAGTTAAACCTGTATACCGATCTCGAACAGCTCCTGACTTGCAATTATATTAAGCTAAATTTCGGCTGCTGAAGAGAATTCATTGCTGCTGCAATGTTCTCCCATATTTGTCCTCTCTCAGGGCTCCTCATAACCACATCATGTTCCAGCTGAGTCCACTGGAAAATAGTTGCCTTTAATAGCGGCTAAAAACAACATGGGAAATTATTAAATCTCATTACGAAAAAATGAAGATTTATCCTATAGTACAACCTAGAATGCATGAGTAAACATAGGACCGTAAGGGAACCAACAGCAGCTAATCTAAAAGGTTCGGAAGATAGCAGAGGAAAGCTTACTTGTCTGTCCGACTTGTTGTTCCGCCATCACTCAGGTTTTCAAACAAACCGAACCTGAAAAATAAATTCAAGTAGGCAGGCGAAGAAACCGACAAAGTGTTTAACATTTGGATTCTGCTATTCCACAAAGAATATATTTCTACTTGTACTGAATGACAAGGGGGGAAAAGAGTGATTTACACGCAAAAAGTATAGTTTTATCCTTACGTTTTAGCGACGACGGCAAACCTCCCTGAATTACGTCGTCGACGAAGGCTGGACGACGTTTTGACAACCTTACGCATGCCCAGAAGGTTCGAGCGGGAAAATTTCACTTCCGGTCGGCGTCGTCGTCCCATTTCGTCGTCGATGCTAAAGGTCCCTATTACTTAGGTAGGAACTGTTTGCAATGATCTTATGGCAATATGTGCGCGAAGCAAGTAGTGGTTCTCTCTCTGAAACGTCCAGCATCAGTTGCTGGACAAATTTGAACAAGTCTCCAACTTTTTTATGAGCTTCTCTTTAAATGATGTTTCTCTGCTGATAAACGGCTTCAGTATTTGTATACTGGTTTCTTGGGCTAGCTTGTTATACCTCAACTATACGCCAGATAGCTGGAGTATTTGCTTCCGATCTGCAGCATAGTGGATCTCAGAACAGATAAAAATCATAGCGATCTAAGAAGATTTCTCGTTTCTGAAGGTGTGGTGCTTATAAGCGCTCACACACTTCTTGTGATACTTTCTCTTTGCAGCAGTGAGATCGGTGGCCCCAGCAAGGTGGACTCTCATTTTATTATCCAGATATGATGATTCAATTGCAATAACTGAATTGTTACCATTGAATGCCGTAACGGATTTTGAGTGCTCAGTTCTCGGGGGTTTTAATTGTTGGCAAAATACACAAAGACTCCACTTTACAGGTGCGACACCTCTCCTATTACTTTTGATTCTTGCCCTCTTTATGACACGGAGGCCGCCTCGTTGTCAAAACACCCACTTTTTCCTGCATTTGGGCGGTGGGCTATTTAATAGCTTTTCCTTCAAGAGTTCTATTTTCACTTTGTGCGTAAATTCAAAATAACGATCCTGTGCTATTGTAGACAGCATGAATAAGAAATAGTTCCATCATAAGCGTTTATATCTCTTACGCCTTTAACTGTCTCTGTATTTTGTTCATCACAAACATTTTCTGCGCCTTTACAGCTTTTGCACACCTCTCGTCGCTAGTTGCAGGAAAGCTATACCTCCTCAGAGTCTGAATTGAGGGCATCACTGCAGCTCCGTTTCTTTTTAGATGCCGCCATTCATCTATATTTTAAGCAGTCTGGCTCTCCTCAACGATTTGAACTAACTTGAATTTCGAAGTTCCTCTACATTGTAGTTTATCTAGACGAAGGAAAAGGGGGAAGAATTTGCAAATGCCAAGAATTTGTGCTATGAAAGACTGGCATATTTTTATATAATTTAATTGATAAAATTGTCACGAAAAATATCACAATTTTACCCATAACTAAATGTATGTGAATTTTATATCAAAGGGTGTCGTCAACTGTCACGTGACAACTCAAATTCGTAGAAACAGCGTTTTAGAAATACTTTAAATAATTTTTACAATATACTTAGCACTCTTTGAAACAATTTCTGGATTTATGAAATACATATTTATGAAAGTTAAGAAAACTCCTTATAAATACAATTATGTCACTATGAAATGCTCCAAAACTCCTCCTTAACACAAGAATTGAGCTTGGCAACGACGATTTTCGCAATCAGCGAGCTTTTTAAAATAACTATGTTGCCAAAAATCAGACAAAAATGCCCGTGAGTGTCACAATTTGGTTTCCTGTGTACCCGACAAAAACGACGTACTTAATTTCATGTTTTCCGGCATTGTTTCAGCAAATTATGACTGAGATTGTCATAGCCAAACTTTCTGGGACTTGAGAGCTATTCCCTGTGTATGCTTCAAGCCGCGAATAGTGTCTAAGCCTGGTCGCGCCGCTGACTTTCAACCTTGCCCTTCATAATTCAAGAAGATTTATGCTATGGCTAAAACTACAAGTATGGATACGCAAAGAAAGCAGATAATTTTGTCTTGGCAGATGATAAGTTAACTGCTGCAGTTTCGGCGAAAGAGAAGATTTTCTTTATCATCTCCTACTGAGTTCATAGTTCCATCGGGTAGTAAAATCCAATTTAGGCTGATGAAGAATAGAAAAAAAAAGCAAAATCGTATAACGTATGACCAGCTATGAATGCTACGTTTACAAAAACCGTTGAGCTAATGGTGAGGGGTTTTTTTTAGCAAGTGAAAGCTATATCTCCTAATGTTTAATTCGGGTAAATTTATTGCCGAAAAGTGATTTGTCTTGTGAAATGTGGAAATCTAAACAAGCAAATGGTTTGGTTATGTTAAAGGTACCGTTCCTGTGGTGATTGAATTAGACAGTGCCACCTTTCAAAATAATCACCGTGGAGATCTTACGTCTTTGATGAAGGAGATGGCAAACCAATTTTTTGACACAATGGCAGCTGATATTCCAAACAAAGAAAAGGCTAAGTGCCTATTTTACTATTTGGAAGGAGTCCGTCAAGTTAAAGTAAAGGAGGCAATTGAAGGTAGTTTGAAAATAACAGTGGAGTGTCGCACTATCGAAATCCTTGAAGAGCTATGGAAGGACTACTGCTCTGGTCACCTAAATTCGGTTGCCGAGGAATACCTTTTGACAGATGACATCAAGAGGAGACTACATGTAGAGTTTGTCAAGTTGAAGACAACAATTTCACAAGAAGATTACTTGGTTTGCAAACGGTTTCTAAGAGGTAATTCATCACAGTTACCTTAGTTTTTAAATGTAACAAATGAGCAGACTAGTATCAGTGGCGGAATCAGGGGAGGGGCCCGGCCCCTTATTTTTTATTTATTTTTGATTGATTGATTTTTTAACAGTTTTTATTGAATTGAATTAAAGACAAGTTTTCCAATGTTATTTAAGAATAAACATTAATTAGATAAATTAAATTATACAATTCCACTTAAATAGATACTAACCTAAAAGAAAAAAGAAAAAGGATAACAATAACAACAAAAAATATATATATGAATATTACAACAACAACGACAACAATCGAGATGCCTGCTAAGGAAGAGAGTGGCATTTTTACGAACCTCTGTGCATCAACTGCTATTAAGTGCATTAGTTAGCATTAGTTAGCTTCTCCCACTTTTGAAAATGAAAGAGAAGTTTATTTTTCTCCCTGGCGATGTGGAGCTCGATATTGAAGACACGTCTTGCCCTAGCAATAAAATCTCTAATTGAAGGTAAGCTAGTATGACATTTCCTACAGTAGATATAATATTTATCTAATAACAAAATATGATTAATCAGAATATAGTTTTCCACTTCCCGGTCCCTTGTGATTAGACCAAACTGAGGCCCGAAAGGCCGAAAAATGTTTTTTGAGACCGACCTTTCCCCCTTATCTCAGGGTCTGGATGACCGCGGGTCCCCCTTATCTGAAAACGTTGTCAAACTATTGTGTTACAGGTTTTTTAATCCCCCGACCCCCAGAGAAGGGGCAATGGTAAATTACTGAATTTGGCTCCCATATGGGTGAAGAATTACCCAGATCGAGGGAGGTTTTCCTTCGAGATCTACGTGCATTATTCTACATAAGATACCGCGAAAGCCGAATTCGGTTCTTGTTTTATCAGTCATTCCAATATTTCTAGGTTCTTAAGAAACTTTACCTCCTCGTAGACTTTCTTTGGAACATTTGCCTCTTTCTGGGCACAGTTTTTAAAGAGTATAAACATATTTCGGATTGCCGTGGACTCTTTCTTTTTTCTTTTTTTCCTGAGTTAAAAATGCCAGAATATTTAGGCTGCCGCGCCGTAACCTGGAAACGAGTTTGCTATTGTATACTGCTGGATTTACTGCTGGCAGTATACCATTGTATCAATGTTTTTTGCTCGAATCTTCCAAATTTGATCAGGGCTGGATGAGCTAGCCGGCTTCGGCTGATAACCCCTACCTCGACCTTGATTATTCTGGACATCACAAAAACCTCATCCAATAATTGTTTACAATTCATGTTAGCAGGTTCACTTACACAGAATCAGAAATTAACCCAACTGGAAGTTTTTCAAGAAACGGATGTGTCAAGTGAAATCCATCCAGGTATTTTCTAATAACCAATAGTTATAAAATAGAAATAGTTTGAGCTTTTACCATTGTAGCCAAAATATTGACGATACTGAAACTGTGCTCCTTGTTGTTGGATCAATCTTGCCGCACTGGGTTGATCTCAGGGAGAAGAGAAGAAATGTTTGACCTCAATTCCAGTATTCATTGCTTTGTTATCTTTGCACCTGAATAAATTTGACAGGGCTTGTTTATCATTTGATTTACTGTAATCAGTTTGGTATTGATAGAGACGTTTCCACCGCGTACTGCTGGTCTTCAACAAGCAATAACAAAGTAAATTTTGGGAGACAACAATAAACGAATACCATACACATTTCAACGCATAGCTTTTATTATAACCATGAAATTTATAAGATCGATTTTCAGTGTCTCAATTTCAAACTTAGAAGACATGATTGTCAAGTAAGCGCTGTACTTTTTAATGATTCTGCTCGCGATTTCTACTGTTGTGAAGGAATGTCTTTACTTTTTGCAGTTTCGTTTTCTGCGTAGTTGGTGTTTGGTGTGCTTTACTTTGGATTTGAGTATACTTTACTAATATAAATTTAGATTGTTTGTTTCACTATCATTTTAGTTTTTTAAAAAGTCTAACCGTATCCGTTTGTACATGGGGGAGTTTCAGCGGTACTTTCATTTACTACTGACAATTACTTCCCTTCTTCTACATGATTCGCTCCTTATCCATCGAAAGCATACTCTGGCTGCCAGAGTTTTTGTTTCTTACATAACTCCTGATAGCGAGTCTCGAATTGCCGAGAAGCTTTTTCAAATCATGAGCACGGTCATAAGAACGGAGCTCTGGGTCCATGATATTTTAAGCAGGAAATAGCCCTGTTAGAGGACTGGAAGTTAGCGTAACTGAGATTGGGACTATTATATAGCTCACGGTTGTTGTTTCGTTGGTGTCGTTTCGACTTCCTTTCAATTAGTTTGATTGCCTTAGTGATTGTCTGTAGTCAGATGTTTGTCAGCTTTTTGTCCGACTCTTCTATAAAAACTAAAAATCCAGTGTAGGATTTTCCTTTTGTCTCAGATAATTCAGAACGCTATCAAGAGCCGTCGGCTAAAAAGGGAAGTAACTTTCTCCAAGATCACTGTTACGCTGAAGCTGCTGGCGAAACTCATAGCCGTGTATCTGCTGTAGACTCTGAACAAGTCACACTGCACTTTTCAGTGAATGGTAAGTGTGAAATAACTTAAACCTACTAATAGGAAAAGACACAGTCACTGCTTTGAATTATTAGGAGGTGGCGTTTGTAATAGTTGTCTGTGAAGTGAGGAGAGGACACTGTTTTTGGGAGATTTTCCTTTTTTTCCTTAAGGGGGCGAGGAATTTTTTTAGGCTTTAACTCTTATGAGTCCTTCAATCTCGCCTTTGTAAATCATTGTCAACCTTGCCCTCTTTGGTGCGTGATCCTCGATGTAATAAAACTAAGAATAGAACAGGTATAGTTCACGTAATGCAATATGGAGGCTTTGAAACTTTGAATCATATACCGATTTATGTCTTGTCGCTCTAAATTTTGGAAACGTCACGGTACATATTTGGCAATGACAATATTTTGCATTTCAACGCGGCCTATTAAAATGGTTAATTATTGGGGAAGTAATTAAGAATATTTATTATTCATTCAAAATATTTCCCCGATTCTGATTGGCTAAAAGCACACGTTTAATTCACCATAACCAGTTACTGATGACCAAATTTGGAAGAAATTTGACTTTAACGAGGAAATGACGTCAAAAATGCAGCGTTCGTGCAGGTTAAGGCACCGTCAACCGAGAGGACCTGGGGACGAGGTTGAGTTGTTTTGGTTGTGAACTTGAAAAAAATGGCGGACATTTCACTCGTTTGAAGAGTAAGAACTAGGCGAAAAAATAGCTAAAAACATGGCAAGAACAGCAAGAAGACAACTCGAAGGGCGACATCTGCTATTTTGGAGAATATTTGTGGAGCTGGACAAACCTAAACGTACACTATCGAAGATGAACTGAACATCGATGGATCGATGGAGGTAAGCATGTTTTAGCTATGTTTTTAAACTAGGAATTATTTTGAATGAATAATAAAACAGTTATTGAATTCGGCTTTCGTATCATATGAAGCATTATGGAGATCTCGGAGGGTGTTATCCGCCTCGGCCTACGGCCTCGACGGATAACACCCTCCTCGATCTCCATAATTCTTCATAAGATACTCAGCCTCATTCATTAACTGTTAAATACAGATGCTACATCAAATATAGTATGAATTCGAGTTAAAAAAAAAAAAAAACGGAACAGAACATATTCATCAAAGAGCTTATTAGCTTTTGGTCCCTAATATTCACTAGGAAACACTCGAGGAGTATGTGTAATCTTATAATGCAGGTATTATGATGTATGTGCTTTATTTTTGGACAATTTCACTATATCAAGCCGGTGAACTATAATAAATTTAAAACTTCTTCTTACTTAGCCTTTAAAATGCCCTTTTCAAATTATGAAATGGCAAAGAACCCTTTTTTTCTTTTCCGGCCTTGACCAAGCAAACACTGATCTCATAGGCAAAGATCAAATACCAAAGATGGAACGAGGAAGTGCTCAGGACATGAACAGAAAGCAAGAGAGCTTTACTGAGGAATTAGCAAACAAAGAAGACGTTGGCAGATCTCTTAAGGAACGTCCGGCTTATCTGCAGAAAATAAGGTTACTTCATGACCCAAACCCAACGGAGGAACATGTTAATTCGCTAAAAGAAACTATAGAGCTTATGTTAATTAGGCGTCCTCAATTACAATTTTTCGAAGATGGCATAAAAATTACGGCGACGGATACAATATAATATCAGGTGAAAAATTAAACTAATCAATATTACGGAAGTTTACAAATATTGAATATTAAAAGGCTTTTTCCCAAGATTTTTGTTGGAGTATACTAATAATTATTGCAAATAAATGCCTTAAGTGCTTAAAGGAGAAAGGTGAGGAAGCGTTGATGATGCTGGTGTTTAAGGTGTTGTAAAATTTAGGTCCTTGATAAAAAACGGAAAATTATTTAGTTCGAGTACGACAGAAAGGCAGACGAAATTTACACGCGTTTCTTGTATTATACGAATGAATTTGACTTTGTAAGGTAAATTTACAACGAAATTTTCAAGGTAGAGTATGGTTTTGATAGGAGTACATGAATAAGCCTAGTTGTATTAAGTATATATCATGAAATTTTAAGATACCAAGATTTTGAAAGATTGGATCAGTATGTGCATCGAAAGTGGTTTCAGCTATAGTTCTGATCACTCGTTTCTGTAAAGTCTCAAGACGAATAAGGTTAATTCTGTAAGTAGAGGCCCAAACTAAGTTGCAGTAAAAAAGGTATGGATAGACTAGAGAAAATTATAGTGTTCGTAAGGTTTTCGTGGATAAATAGAAACTGGATTTACGAATAATTCCTGTGCATTTAGAAACTTTATTGGCGACATGTGAGATTTCAGATTTCCAATTTAAATTTTCATCCATGATTACTCCCAAGAAAACTGTTTCTTTTACTCGATCAATTTTTTGACTATTAATTAAAAGTTGAATAGTTTGATTTGTACGCTTTTTGGATGGTTTAAATGCAATGAATTTGGTTTTTTTCAAGTTTAATGAAAGCCTGTTAGCTCTAAACCATATTGACAACTTATTTAGCTCAGCGTTCAGTATATTAGTAAGGCAGTCTTTATCCTTGTGAGACACAAATACGTTTGTATCATCGGCAAATAATATCAGTTGTAATATTGTTGACGTGTTGATTATATCGTTGATGTAGAGCAGAAAAAACAAAGGCCAATAAGTGTGATAGTGACTATTACATTTATTTTTGGTGGTAACGTTTTCACTGTTTTTACTAACTTCAAAGTTTTGTTTTTAGGGTGGATTCGTTCCCTTTTACATTATTTTTTTTATGTACTGAACTGTTAAAACAACGATGCAATGTTAATGGCCTACAACATATCTTGCGTACCTATGCTGTACTTGCATTATACGTTAACAGTAGGCCTCTAGCAAACTGGTAGAGAATCTATTAGACTCAGGTAAAATTGTTTTCTTTCCTTTCTTAACGAACCCTTGTTAATATATAAGACGCATCGATCGTGGTTTATCTTCGACTATTTGTGCTTAAAAATGGAGTTTATTTTAATGAGTTCTTGGTGTCATTTTTTGCTGTTGGTTCTTTTTTGTATTTCTCCCCGGGCTCATACTAAGAGAGCAATCAAAGTGTGGTAGAAAGGCAAGTCTTATCTCCACCCATATATCAAGCGGCCGATGAAACAAGGATCTTGTGTGTTGAAGAGAATGCGCAGACTCAATCTGAACAGGAATGCAGCATCCAGCGTGTGGATAACCTTACCCAGTCTTCTGAGATGGAAACTACAACCCAAACTCTTCAAAACGCTCAAGTGTACGTTGCTGACGATGCGGAAAACATGACTCAGATTGTTGATGAAACTGTGAGGAAGTATGTGACAACTGAGGATGTTGAACAAACTCAGAATCAGTCTACTGACGGACAAAGGATTCAGGTTATTGGAGAAACCCAGAGCCAGTCTACTGAGGAACAGAATAGTCCAGATGCTGGAAAAGTTCAGAACCAGTGTGCTGAGAGACAAAGAAATCTTTCCGTTTTAGATGCTCAAGGCCAGTATGCCCAGAGACAAAGGAGTCAGGGTATTAAAGAAAATCGCAATGAATCTCTTGAAGAAGGCACACTAGAGGTTTTAAAGGAGACTTACAGCAGGTCCTCTAAGGAAATAAGTCCTTGGTTTCCTTATGTCAGCGAAACAAGGGATCAGTCAGCTGACAAACCTGTCTAAACAGAATCCATTTTCAAGGGTCATAAAGGTATTTAATACTGTTTGTTTTGATTTTTTATAATGTATCTTTTTAAAGCGATTTTAAAATATTAATCACTTCCAATTCTGTTTTAGAAGGAAACATGACTTTTATGAAAGAAAATGGTTAATACAATCATGGTTATTATAGTTGTGTGTTCAAGTTATTTGTGTGTAGGTAGTAATACATAGTGTTCGTTCAAACTAAAGTTCAATTTTTTACCCATTTCTTTAATGGCTGAAATCCTTGCAAACATTCTAGCTCATTCTGTATCAAAGTTTTTTTTCCTTTTTTTCGGTAGAGGTGTACAACACTTAGCAAGTACTACTAAAATTTTCTGTTTTCACCAGTGCGAGTAATAAAGAGTTTTGCTTCTTTTTTGTTTGAGAGGACTTCAATTATACAAACCTTTTTGCTTTATTTACATAGTCTGATATAAATGATTCGAGTTGTTGACAGAATTTTCGAACGTTAACAAATCATCGACTTCGTCTCGGGTTTGCATTACTGACTAACGGAAAAAGTATTATATAAACCCCAGTGAAATACTAGGTGAGCTTTCGGGCGAAAACTTGATATCTTCAGACGTGAAAATATCTCCGTTACTATGGCTGCATAATAAATCGCGCCTTTCACACTAAAAAAAACTATTAAAGTGGAATAGTTGGGTATTTCATTGGTGTTTAGCATTAGCGCAGCGAACGAGTGAAATATTTTTCAACACTCGAAGAGAAATTTTGTATCTCCGATCGACCATGTAATATGCTCTATTTCTGTTGCTAAATGCAAGTTATATTTAGATGAATAGTTGATACACAGACTGTATACATTTTAAATTGTTTTGTTAATTTACCAATGCTTAAGACACCTCATTTAACAACTAGATGGTGCCTACCCTTGGTAGGCAGGAGACTGCGTGAAAGATGATACCAGCAAACAAATAAACATCCTTTTTAGCTCATGGATGACGTAGTCATGCCATGGGCTTTTAGAGGCACTCGATCACTCACTCACTAATACACTCACTCACTCGATTCTCATTAATTTATTCATTAAAGTCAGATTAAACACTTTACTCTTATCTCCCTTACTTAGTATATTTGGATGAATTGTACACATTTGTTCCCGATATTACTTGATATGGAGAGGATACGGTCGACAGGAGTGTGAAAGAACTATCGAAGCCTGACGATGGGATTTCGTTCAGCAAATAAGCCAAAGAGCGTTAGCTGCAAAAAACGGTCCTCGAATTGTAAAGCGACGTTGACGTTCACATGCGAAAGCAAATTATTTTACAACTAAAAAGCGTTAATAAAAGTGATCTTTGCGTTAAGTAGAAATGCTGCATATATAACAGTCTCTAGAATATTCGCGGAGCTCCACCCGCGCGCGAAGCGCGCGAGTGGGCGGAGCCCCATAGCTTAGGAAATCGACCCATCCCAGAAAATTTGGTAATCAAGTGACCGTACACCGACCGCCCGCCGACCGTCCGTCCGCACCACAAGGAAACCAATGTTTACTCTCACACTTTCTAGCTACAATCATCGTCAAAAGTGTTGGGAAGGTTGCCTTTTTTTACCCCTTCTTTTCCTTCCTCTCCCCGACCCTGGCCCATTGTTGATCAAAACGTTAATGTTTGTGCTCGTTATTGTTCTGTTATATCCCAACATTGAATAGGGGGGACGGGGGATATTTCGCAAAAGAGAAAACTCTCTTTTTTCAGGATGAAAATGGACTGCTGTTAAATTGTACAACCTTCCCAATTACTTTTGTCTGTGATTGTAGTTTTGGAGCCCGGGAGGAAACTGATTGCACATCAATATTGTGATCAATTGACAGCTGTCAAAACAACGTATCCACTGACCAGTATCATCTGACCATATCGCGGGCTCAGGTGTCGACCCATCGAGGTCGAATACTTTTTGGAAGTTATCCGCTGACAAGTTACTGGTTTTCAAATGATCGCAGGCTAAAGTTTATTTTTAAAGATTTATATGAAATATGTTGAGTTTATGTCACGATGGTCACGCACAATTAAGATTTTGATTTCAAACTAACCATGGACTCGAAAATTCAGCCAGTTATTTCAAAATACAGGCGGGGAAGACCTTTTCTTACCCAGGTCACGCGTTGGTCACGCTCTACGTCGAATTTTTATGCTCTGATTAGTCAAAATTTGACAGGTGAGTTCATGCGGAAAATTTATGTAGCATCCTGAAACTTGATTACTTTGACAGCTGAAGCTGACAGAGTTTTATGTCAACTTGTGATTCTTTTAACTGTCTTTCTCCACTGGATGTTCAAAATTAAATACAGCTACTATCAGGAGTCTTCTGTTATTCATGGCTAGTTTGTTTATTGGTTTTTTGGTTCAGAAATGCGTCTCTTGTCAAAGTCGGAAATCCGATTTTGGATGGCATCGTTTTCGTTTTTCACCTTGCTTGATGCGTATTAAAGAGGGTTCAAAATTCTCAAGCGATTCTGGCATTACTTGACAGCTTTCGGGAGCTGCATCTTTTCGTAAGCCCATGGGGGCTACATAGTGATTTCGTTTTTATTTTTCACTTTTCCGTTTTCGTTTTGAACGTTTTGATTTTCACTTCTCTATTTAGCTTTTCGGTTAAGAATTCGGTTTTTTTTCACTTTTCCGTTTTGGTTTTTAACGTTCTGATTTTCACTTCTCCATTTAGCTTTTCGGTTGAGAATTCGGTTTTTATTTTTTTACTTTCCCGTTTCCGTTTTTAACGTTTTGATTTCCACTTCTCCAATTTGCTTTTCGGTCGAGATTTCGGTTTTTATTTATATTTTACTTTTCCATTTTTCTTTCTAACTTTTTGATTTTTATCGATCTATTTCGTTTTACTTTTCAGTTTTTGTTTTTGCTTTTAAATTATATAATGAAAACCAAAACCAAAACCTAATAATTATAGCCTTTAAAAATTGAAAACCAAAAAAACCAAAACCAAAACCAAAACCGACAGAGTAGACCATGATGCTTTGCTGGACGATCAATGTGGCGGATCAAGGTGTCCATCCGGCGGAGTGCGGCTTTGTTGACGATGTTAGCCCAGGTAGATTTTCTAATTTTACCTCCACTAATTGCCTTAAATCATAAACTGTATTTCTTTTCAACGTGCCTTTTAATTCTTGTAATTAAGCTATGGAAATCGCGTTAATCGACTAGATCATCAGTAGGCTTGGATTGGAGGTACTAATGTGCTGTAAGTTACCGCACATTTGTTAAGCTTTCATTTATACTAGATCGTAATCGCGTCGAATGTGAATATAAGGGGAAATATATTCTTTGAGCATAATGGCACGATCAAAGTATGGGCGGTATTTGGAGTCACGTTTATAACTGACGGCAAACGTCAGATTCACCTAACGTCTGTCTTCTGGGATATCTGTTCGAATAAGCAAATATAGGAAATGAGCGGATAACAACCGCTCAAAACAATTTTTATGGATAAAATCTGAGTGAAACTGCTAAGTTTTATGTAGAAGTAATGAACACTAAGCGACAAAAAGAGGGGAAATTTGGTCACGCAGTATACACGTACCGCGGCAGATGTTTATTGCCTTTTAATAAAGTTATAAACGTGACTCCAAATCTATCTGATTTTGAGAGCCGACACGTGTTAAAAACTTACTGCCCATACTTTAATCGTTCCATTATGCTCAAAGAATATATTCCCCCTTATATTCACAGCCTACGCGATTACGATCTAGTGTAAATGAAAGCTTAACAAATGTGCGGTAACTTACAGCACATTAGTACCTCCAATCCAAGCCTTCTGATGATCTAGTCGATTAACGCGAATTCCAAAGCTTAAATAGAAGAATTAAAAGGTACGTTGAAAAGAAATACAGTTTATGATTTAGAGCAATCAGTGGAGGTAAAATTTACCTGGGCTAACATCGTCAACAAAGTCGCACTCCGCCGGATGGACACCTTGATCCGCCATGTTGATCGTCCAGCAAAGCATCATGGTCTACTCTTGGTTTTGGGTTTTTGGTTTTCGTTTTTTAATGTTTATAATAAGGTTTTGGTTTGGTTTTCATTATATAATTTAAAAGCAAAAACAAAAACTGAAAAGTAAAACTAAATAGTTCGGTAAAAATCAAAAAGTTAGAAACAAAAATGGAAAAGTAAAAAAAAAATAGAAACCGAAATCTCAACCGAAAAGTAAAATGGAGAAGTGAAAATCAAAACGTTAAAAACGGAAACGGAAAAGTAAAAAATAAAAACCGAATTCTCAACCGAAAAGCTAAAGGGAGAAGTGAAAATCAAAACGTTCAAAACGAAAACGGAAAAGTAAAAAATAAAAACCGAAATCTCAACCGAAAAGCTAAATGGCGAAGTGAAAATCAAAACGAAAACGGAAAAGTAAAAAGTAAAAACCGAAAAGCTAAATGACGAAGTGAAAATCAAAAAGTGAAAAACAAAAATGGAAAAGTGAAACATAAAAACAAAATCACTATGTGGCCCTCCTGGGCTTCCGTAGCATCTCGGATGGTAAGGCTGAGTTATTATTATATTTGATGTTTGTTTTTCACATCTAATTTCAGGCATTCGAACACAGTTTATGCGGCAAATTTATGCATGTTTGTAAGATTTGAGACAATGATTTGACCTAGTATCAGGTTTGATATAACCTTACAGAACTTTCCAAAGCCTTTAGATATATTTTCTCACCGCAAATGGAAAGAAAACGTTCCGAAGAATATTTAGCTATAAATTTGGCCGTAGAAAGAAAACTTTGAGCGATTTTCTTGCCTCGAGTTCATCTTTGAGAAAAGCAAGCACCAGGAGGCCGGCCTAAAACATGAACTTATTAAGGTTTAAGCTTTAAGACTCAGGATTTTTAGAAACACTTTAATACTTGTCTCGTGAATGAAAATTGTTGCCTCTGTAAATGCTTCACTGAATTATATTTCTTTTATTCATTGTTAGTAGTCTCTCTTGCAATTTTAATCGCTGTACCGTTTGTTTTCAGTCGTTCATGAATATCGTTTGCAGGAGTTAACTCGAAATGCAGCGCGTATCAAACGCTTTTTAAGATTACAAATCGTTATAAAACCCTTACATAAAAAAATAAACTTAATAAATTCTTTATTATGTTGAAGCATAACTCTATTAATGTTCAGTGCAAATTTGGCGCTCGTCAAAAGAGAAAACCGGCTGGCCGTATTAATTGATTTTGGAAATTTTTTGAACGGTTTCGCTAAAAGCCAAGGATTGATCGTCCTGAATATTGACTGAGTGCAATTTGTCTTGAAAAATTGTGAAATTCTTCATTCTGTCCGAGGTCTGTATGATTTCAATAAAAAGGTGTTTTTAAAGCAAAAGCAATTTAGACACTTGTAACATTACAAACATATAAAACGAATTAATCGAAAAAGATGTCAATTTCATATCTTTCTGTTTTCTCAACATAGTACAGAAAATTTAAAAAAAGGGTTGGCCGAACCGTGCACGGACCGTTTACACACCCCCAGATTTTTTGGCAAGAGTTTGTAAAGTAAACTTGTCGAAAGCAAAAAATTCCGCCTGATTTGTTTTCCAACAATTTATTTTCCAGGCCTAATCTACTGTGATCAAGAGCCATTGTGGCTCTTGAATGTGATCGAAGAAGATTGCTTTCTTTTGGGTGTACATATAAGGCTATCATCTCGATGTAAGATGTTTCACTCTAAAATTTAGCCTTTCCCTCAAAAGTCACTTTAATTTTTGCTCTTAAGTTAACTGATTTGTGGATTACAAGTTTATTGTTTGATTTAAATTATCAATTTATTAATTGGAGCTTCGCTTTTAGCCCTGGCTAAATCTATATATTAAGGTGCACATGCAATCGAATACTTCGACTGTGTCGGGTTTGAATTCCTAAGGTCAGGGCACGTTCAGCTTCGGACAAGGATCTAGCTCCCTTAAAAGTGTGAGTGCTATAGAGTGAATATGTTACCCTGCCCATGCAAGCAGTTTAAAACAAATGAATTTCAAAATGGAATGTCTCTCAAGCCTTCTAGTTACTATAAATACAGAGATGATAATCTTCAACATTCGGTGGTCAATAGTAACGAAACTCAATCACGAAATTCAAGGGCAGTGGTACTTAGCACCCATGCTCGTTTACGATTCAATTCATCCATGAGCTCTCTCCAAGGAGCCTTTGCTTTCAAAACACGAACTGGTACAAAAAGTTTAGGCTGCTTGCAATGTTTCTAGCATTAATTTGTTTTGTATCCTTGTCAGTAGATTCATGGAGCTGTAAAAAAAAAGGCTGGAGGAAAAAGGTTATAAAGTTAAAACTAAAACTCGTTTTTTGCATTGATAAATGCCAACCAGAATCAAGCGCTGCTGGGGTAGTTCTCCAAGTTGTTCATATGCCACCGATCCACAGTTCTTAGATCCTTGTTACTGTTTAACGATCATGGCATTCGCCATAAAAATACTATAGGTTATTTGTTCTTTGTAAAAGTTTTTGAAACATTTTTGCTGAAATTGCTAACTTTTGCAGGTACTGGTGTACGCCTCCTTCCCAGTTGTTTCCATGATACTGATGATTTTTGTGAACCACTCAAAGCCGATGGCGCCCGCAGCATCGGCGATGATTATGTGCAAAACATTTGTGACGTTCTCAAATTTAATAACACACTGTCTAATTTGCATTTGAGTGGGAAGAGCATTTCCTACGTTGGTGCCCAGTATCTTTCTGAGGCTTTCAAAGCTAATAAGACAGTGACCAATTTAAATTTGAGTTTGAACAGAATTTCCGACGTTGGTGCCCATTATCTTTCTGAGGCTCTCAAAGTTAATAAGACAGTGACTAATTTGAATTTGAATTGGAACAGCATCTCCCATGTTGGTGCCCAGTATCTTTCTGAGGCTCTCAAAGTTAATAACACAGTGACTAATTTGGATTTGACAAGGAACAGGATTTCCGACGTTGGTGCCCAGTATCTTTCTGAGGCTCTCAAAGTTAATAAGACAGTGACTAATTTGAATTTGAATGGGAACAGCATCTCTCATGTTGGTGCCCAGTATCTTTCTGAGGCTCTCAAAGTGAATAACACAGTGACTAATTTGAATCTGAATTGGAACAGCATCTCCCATGTTGGTGCCCAGTATCTTTCTGAGGCTCTCAAAGTGAATAAGACAGTGACTAATTTGAATTTGAGTTGGAACATCATCTCCCATGTTGGTGCCCAGTATCTTTCTGAGGCTCTCAAAGTTAATAAGACAGTGACTAATTTGAATTTGAATTGGAACAGCATCTCCCATGTTGGTGCCCAGTATCTTTCTGAGGCTCTCAAAGTGAACAACACAGTGACTAATTTGGATTTGACAAGGAACAGGATTTCCGACGTTGGTGCCCAGTATCTTTCTGAGGCTCTCAAAGTGAATAACACAGTGACTAATTTGGATTTGACAAGGAACAGGATTTCCGACGTTGGTGCCCAGTATCTTTCTGAGGCTCTCAAAGTGAATAGGACAGTGACTAATTTGAATTTGAGTTGGAACATCATCTCCCATGTTGGTGCCCAGTATCTTTCTGAGGCTCTCAAAGTTAATAAGACAGTGACTAATTTGAATTTGAATGGGAACAGCATCTCTCATGTTGGTGCCCAGTATCTTTCTGAGGCTCTCAAAGTGAATAGGACAGTGACTAATTTGAATTTGAATGGGAACAGCATCTCTCATGTTGGTGCCCAGTATCTTTCTGAGGCTCTCAAAGTTAATAAGACAGTGACTAATTTGAATTTGAATGGGAACAGCATCTCCCATGTTGGTGCCCAGTATCTTTCTGAGGCAGTCAAGGTGAACAAAGCGGTGACTATTTCTTTGAGCATTGGCCATCTTGGAGAGTCCGATGATCTTACTGTGGTGATGTCGTCTGTCCTACATTCATTTGAGGCAAAAGGTCAACACAAGTAAGTATAGAATGTCGTTTGTCTAATTACAGTAAACACCCGCATACAAGAATCTGTGGATTAAGAACCTCTTGGCGGAAATTTGCCAATTTAATACCCAAAATGTAAGAACCTGTTTGGCCGAGTAAGATCAAGCAGGTTCTTATATGTGGGTTATTGTGATAAACAATTTAATCAAGGAGTGTAACTTTGAGATCGAAATTTTAAGTATAACGAGCACGTAATATTCCAAAGTGTATATAAATTTGGTAATCAGTTTTGTTAGGGTTAGCACAATTGTGAATAAATGCTGTGTTTTTAAGGACCAAACCCGCAGATGTATTTTTTTCTGTTAATCAACAATTTATCATCTTCTTTATAAAAATGAAGAACCTACTGAACCTAAGCAGTACCCCGAAATACAAGAACCTATTTTACCAGACTTCAAAAAAATTGGGTTCTTATATGCGGGTGTTAACTGTAGTTGTTTTCTACTAGAAAGAACAGAAATCATTTTGATCAACTTTTTTGTCAACACCTGTCAGAAGCTAGAACGTCATTAACGACATCAGCTATGATAAGCTTAAAGTGCTACTACGACGAAAATTTTGGTTTTTGTTTCCGAGTTTTTTTAACATAAATCTTTTGTATATGTTCAAAATAATACAAATAGCGAAAAATTGGAAACATCAACCAAAAGATTCGCGTTTGGGAAAAGTTTGTACTTTAGAGCCTTTTAACAAGACGTTTAAGATGTCATCTCCGTCGGATTCCTCTTCCTGCACATCTGAAAGTGATCTAGAAAGTTTTACAGTTGACGAAGTGATTGGGGAATTGTCTGAATTTGCGCCGTACGACGACAGTTGCGAACCCCTTGCTACCGCGGAAGAAGCCGCGGACTACAACGAAAGAGTTCATCGCGAAGAAGAGGAGGAACAACAGTTTCAACGAAGATATTCGGGAGAGGTGCCAGCGAATGAAGGGTATGGTATTATCATGGAATGTAGATTTATATTTTTATTTTCCAATTTCAACATACCAGGAATCGTTAATGATTCATCAATCTGCATAACTTCATCCATATCCTGCACTTTTTCGATTCCCTGAGCCTCCAGGATCTGCATGGTCTCAGTAGCCTCATCAGTGTCTGAAATCCCTTGGCTCTCGAGAGCTGTCTTATCACCAGGAGCACCTAGGACCTCTGAAGCCATCTCAGCATCAACACTTATCTCACCCGTCTCAGTCTCAGGGATGCAGCCCTCCTTTTCAGGATTTTCCTCAAGCAAAGAACCCTGACTTGTATTCAGAACACCCTCGACTTCTGGAGACTCCTCAGGGTTGAGATTGGGAGCCCCCATAGTGTCAGCACTCTCCTCAGGTGCAGAACTTCCTTTCAAAGAGATCACCTCTTCTTCAGGATTGTCTTCTTCCTCTGTATCCTCATTAGTAGTTTGACCAGCCAGAATTTCATTTAGAAGCTACAAAGGAAAATAGGTACCACCATTTTTTATATCTCCCCTTCAAAACAAGTTTAAATTTGAGCTTTATGTCGATGTTTTCAAAACTAGAAATGGAAGCAAGGTTTAACCACATCTTTGCCTTAAAATGTATGCATCATTTGCAGACAGTGAAAATAGAATTAAAATACAAACGAAAAAAAAACCCGCAAACAGTAACTAAACTTATAGAATGTAGAAATCAGACTAAGTCCATTTTTGGTTGTTTTAAAAGACTCGCGTGTAACTCTTAATTTGCTGTAAGATTTCTTGGAGGGAAGTTTGGAGTACTGTCAAATCTCAAAGTAACAGCAAGATAATCTCTAAAAAAATAGAGAGCCGGATTTCTATGTAGCTTCACTTTTTCTAAATTTTACGCTTGAGTGGAAAGGTCTGGGAATTGGGGAATTGACTTCACGTGGGAGTAGATATAAATGCAAATTTTGCATTTAAGTATATCTACAGATAGACGATAAAGTTTCGCAATTACTTTTCTCAGTGAAAAGTAAAATTAGTAAAAAAATACTGTGCATATATATATACTGATACAAATCTCGCAGATAACCATTTGTCATTAGCTGCGAAATTTCTCTCTGTTTATACAGAAACACAAACCTCGCAGTTAACCATTTGTCATTAACTGCGAAATTTCTCTTCCTTTATAGTAAGAAACACAAATCTCGCAGCTAACCATTTTTCATCAACTGCGAAATTTGTCTCTGTTTATATGAAGGAACAGAAATCTCGCAGTTTCACCACTTTCGTTAACTGCAAAATTTCTCTCCGTCTATAGTAAGAAACACAGATATCGCAGTGAACCATTTGTCGTTATATAACTGCGAAATTTCTCTCTGTTTATAGTAAGAAACACAAATCTCGCAGTTAACTATTTTTCATTAACTGCGAAATGTCTCTCTGTTTATATGAAGAAAAGAAGTCTCTCTCGCAGTTAACCATTTTCGTTAACTGCAGAATTTTCTCTCTGTAAATATTGAGAAACAAATCTCGTAGTTAACTATTTTTCATTAACTACGAAATTTCTCTCTGGTTATATGAAGGAACAGAAATCTCGCAGTTTCACCATTTCCGTAAACTGCGAAACGTTTCTCTTATGTGAAGGAACAGAAATCTCGCAGTTAACCACTTTTCATTAACTGCCAAAATTCTCTCGATTTATTTTAAGGAATACATTCTCGCACTTAACCATTTTTCGTTAACTGCAAAATTTTTCTCTGTTAATATGAAGAAACACAAATCTCGCAGTTAACCATTCTTCATTAACTGCGAAATGCCTCTCTGTTTAGAAGGAACAGAAATCTTGCGGTGAACAATTTTTGTTAACTGCGAAATGTTTCTATTTATATCAAGAAACAGAAATCTCGCAGTTAAACATTTTTCATTAACTGCGAAATTTCTCTCGATTTATTTTAAGGAATACATTCTCGCACTTAACCATTTTTCGTTAACTGCATAATTTTTCTCTGTTTATATGAAGAACCACAAATCTCGCAGTTAACCTTGTTCATTAACTGCGAAATGCCTCTCTGTTTAGATGAAGGAACAGAAATCTTGCAGTTAACAATTTTTGTAAACTGCAAAATGTCTCTCTGTCTATGTGAAGTAGACAAATCTCGCAGTTAACCATTTTTCATTAACTGCCAATTTATTCTCGGTTTATATAAAGGAATACAAATCTCGCACTTGACCATTTTCCGTTAACTGCAAAATTTCTCCGAATATGTCAACTGAATATGAAGAAACACAAATCTCGCAGTTGACCACTTTTCATTAACTGCGAAATTTCTCTCGATTTAAGAAAGCAATGCAAACCTCGCACTTAACCCTTTTTTGTTAACTGCGAAATGTCTCTCTGTTTATGTTAAGAAACATAAATCTTGCACTTAACCATTTTTCATTAACTGCGAAATGTTTATATTTATATCAAGAAACAGAAATCTCGCAGTTAACCATTTTTCATTAACTGCGAAATATCTCTGCATGCCGTTTATATGAAGGAACAGAAATCTCGCAGGTAACCATTTTCTGGGTTACTAGTTGACAAAGATCGATATAAAGAACGGCGATTTCCGTCATGGGTGGATCGATCCGTGTAAACTCCATGTCCTGTTAAAACCAAACCACAGTCATTCGCAAACATTGCGTACATTTTGAAAGCAATGCAATATTGTTAAAAATTCATCACGCAAAACAAAATGGTTCACGAATCACGCTTTAAATGTCACCCTTCATTCACGGGTCACGTTGAAATAAAAAATTTGTTCACCTGTGGACGTGTAGGCTCAATTTCCTCCGTCTTCTCGAGTCCGGTATTTCGAGCCTAGTGGGAAACGATTTTAATTAAAACATTTTAAAATCAGAATTAATTATCGTGATTATAATCACTAATAAAAAACTTTTAAATCATGATTCACGAGAAAATAAATCGCCTAATCATGTTTCGCGTAACTAAGAAGTGTTGGGGACCCTTTATTCTGACAAAAGACAAACTCGAGAGGGGGATGTCCGAAATCCCAGGTGAACCAAAACATTCCTGGAAATGGCTGGGCTTTTCTGGCTTCTTTCCCATAAAAAAAGCCTTTGTAAGTTAAAACAAAGGAATTCTTGAACTGGGGACAAGCAATTTTCACCAGCCATTGTCTGGCAATTGTAAACATCAACATTGGCGGCTTCATTTTTTCATCATCAAAGAGATCGGTTGCGTGTCGCTTCGTAATAGCAGATATTTAAGACTACTGATTTACTACCAGATTCCCCTGTTTGAAGTCTGCTTATACGCACGCAAGTTTAACCATTAAACTAACTTTGCTTTGGAAAGCGAAAAAAGGAAAAACTCGAGGTTCATAAATTGCGTTCTTGCCTTATATAAGTCCTGTTGAGCTGCTATGAACAAAATTTTTATTTACGCACGCCCGAATAAAGATTTTCTTCATGAAGACGTGTTTAGCTGTGTTTTTCGTCTCTTTTCCTAAGTATCAAGTATCCACAAATCGATAGAAATGATATAAAACTTTCTTTCTTTTTGGAGTTGAGCCTGTAGCCACTCAACCAACAGCAAAAGCGGGGGAGATGTTTCGCAAATAATAGAGCGTGAAAGACTGACATGCAGCTGGAAAAAGACCACAAATTGGTCTGTGTCAGGAAATATCCAATTTGTATAAAGTGTCCTACGTTTTTAAGGAAGGTTTATTCCTTACAAAACAAGTTATTATAAAGTAAGCTCAACAGCGAAAAATTATGCAGTTAATATCGCAAAACAGTCCAACTGAAGCAGAAAAATTTCTCTTGCAATAACAAGACAACTTATGCAAGAAGACATAAGTTTCTTACTCACAAAAGCAACTGCTGCCATGTCTTCTCAAGAAGCCGTAATGACCAGCTATTGTTCGTAAAAAAATATAAAGAAGGATGACAGTCGTCTTCGCTAAAGAAGAAGTTTTCTGTATCTCGCCGAGCCAAACGTAAACATCTTTTCAGCGAATCCAAACTATACGACGTCTTACGACGTCTTATAGTTTCATTGACCGTTAACTCATAAATAATTTAATTTTCTTTCTCAATTTTACAGACAGAATTTTCTTTCAAACTAGACGATTGTGGCGTGTTTGTAACCAGCCAATAGAAGCATTTGTTTTTCTGTGTCGGGCTTTACGAGAATTTTGCAGTTGATCAAAAAGCAAGCATTTTTGGCGGCTATGTTGTAAAAGAATTTGCTCATGCTTTTAGCTGTCAACCCTATCAAGAAGGTAGAGTTGCTCTCGGTATAACTCTTACGCATCCTTCGGGCTCTCCAAACTTCCCGCGTGCATCCATAACTCAATATACATACGCTAAGCATGAACAAATTCTCAATTCCGGCATGCGCAACAGAATCAGAATCCGGTATCATTGTCAATCATAACGAGAAGTCGCGTCTATGCACTGAGTATTATTTGCGTGGTGTGCATTTGGACGAGCGAAGCTTGTGGACGTGTTCATCTTGCTACTTACTTCTTGCTACTTGAAATAATTGCTGTTTTTCGACCGTGATGGCAGTCAGTAGGAAGTTCCAATCTGTACTCTTTGTCTGCGGACAAACGTGGGAAAGTACGGTCCCTAAGGAGGAGAAATTGCTGGAACATTTTATGTGTGAGTATGAAAAAGCTTGCACGTGGTGTGGAACTTTTAAACTTAAGAGTTATATTTTTCCCATAATATCAAAGAAGCTAACGTATAGAGTAGAAATATTGATTCCGATCAGGGTATCCCTAGCTAATTAACGAAATTTTCTCGAAAACAGTATTTAGATAACTCCAGAATGCCATTAATCTTGTCATTGTAGAAAAAATAAACGTCAAATGGCACAAAAGACATAGACACGTGTGTTCGAGGCCATTTCACGTTTGTTTAATCTCGTGCAAGAGCAACTTTTTCGGCTGTTGCTGCAAGAGATTGATCGTTTCAAACATTTCACTGATTAGACTCCCTTGGACTCAACACGTTTCACCTAGTTCACCCAGTTGTAATTGACGAGTATTTTTTCGTTATGATTCAAGGTGTGAAAGTTAGAGTGAACATCGCAAAGTTATATGTATAATTCAGGAAACATCCACTTAAAAAACACTAAAATAACGGCTTAGGACATTGTCTAAACTTGCAAAGATGGCATAAATAATTAAATTATGAAATTATTATTATTATTTGTTTTTCTGGCAGTAAATGTTAACCCTTCAACTCCAAAGACCAAATTAATACTTCTCCATTATAGCCTCTATACATTTCCTTGGTTTTCAAACAGGAGAATGTGGGGTTTTATCAACGGATCAATGTGTTTATATTACAAGGAAAAGTTAGACGTAAATCATTTCTGGGCGGGAAGGGTTAATTTTCTTGTACCGTTTCCATTTCTTTCATCTATATGTTGTCTCAGTTACTGACTAATTTTTTTGATTGACAAGGCCAAATGAGTATGTTATGCAAGGAGCTTTTGAAAGTAGAACAATGATGTTCTCTTGTGCAAATTATAGCTTTTAGAAAGAAGTCCAATTTATGGTTATGGGTGCACCTAGATAAATTCTTCATTTTTATAGTACCCGATACATGGAATTAATGATATTTTAGAGGGTTGCGATTGTCTGGATTAATAAACCGGTCAGCTTTTTTTTTTGTTCTTTTTTTTTAAACTATCGAGCTTTATTTTTAGGCATGGGACAAGTAGTTTTAGCCGTGGTTAAAAGTACAACGGTGAGTGAGACATTTTCCACAGTGATTGCATATACACTCAGTGCTCCAAGATAAGAGTTTGTCGAATCGCCTTTTGGCAAAATAAAGCTACCACATGGTCATCAGACAAATTATGATTGGTCAGTAAAAAGACACTTCATGCAATGTTGAAAGGGTTATTTGTAATATTACAGCGACCACTTGTGTTGAAGACAAAATAGTTTGTCTTTTTTTACGGTTCTCGCAACAGATATGACTTTTTTATGAAAATGTTGCACAAGGTTTTTTAAAATAATTTGCTACACTGTAAACAAAAAGAAAACAATCTGATACAACAACACAGCTATTATGGCGATTTTCGCAGAACACACAGTTGATGCTGCAATTTGGCAAATTTCACCTTAAGTTTGTTTTCCATATTTCTTTCCAAATGGTATGTTGACGAAAACAGTTGCAGTTTGGATTGCTGATACATTTAATTAATGTAATAAAATAATTATTTTTATTACTTTAACATGTGCTACTCAAGAATTAGAGTTTTATTACCAGAATAGACCTTGTCACGGTTTTCGACGCCATCTTGACGAGTAGGCAAACGCGTGAGAAATTACAGTGTTTGTATGAGAATCTACTGTCGAATAATTTCCTTAGAACGGCTGTTCTGAAAAAAATTTGATTTGTATTAAAACTAAAGTTTCACTCCTAAGGATTCTCCTGAAAAAATTTGAGGGCGTTACATGCACTAGAAGACCTAGAACACTTTTTAAATTTTCCATACATTTGTCTGTAAGAAAGTCCCGGGAAAATTACAGACATGATATTTTTTGATATTTTTTTTCAGAACAGCCGTTTTACGGAAATTAGTAGCGTCGAAAACCGTGGACAAGGAAATGGCAGGAGATCTTTCAGCCCAATTATCATCACTTGATGGCACAAATGCTTGTGTGTTTCTCTCCATTGCAGTTGCAGATTGGATGAGGCAAAATGGATCTAGGTTGGAACTTCCCATGAATGCAGCATACATTCAGAAGACCATCGAAGAAATTATTGTATCACTTCCACAAGACATAAATGATGTGAGGGACCCATCAGCATGGTATGTTGTGGAAGATGCATTAAAAATATTATCTGACAAGAGCGCAGTGGGATTCTCTCATACCAGAACCATTATGGCTACCACAAAGGGCCCAGCAACAGGAGAAGGCAGAGACGATTTGGTGACCGCTCTGCTAAAACTTGATCAAGAAAAACCAGTTCAAGCAGTTTACACATGCTGTCCTCTGTCTTTTGTAATAACCACTGGCCTAAATCCAGATAATTCTTCTAATTTAACTTTAGTGGATACCCATTGTGTTCCAAGTAAAGTGGGGGGAAATGACAATGCAGCAGTGGTTCAGTTGAATTATAATTCAATTAACAAGGCTGCAAACGACATGGCAAGTTGGATAGAAGATAGACTAGCTGCATCTGGGATAGGAAAGGGGGCACAATGCCTGAAGATTTTATCTGTTTCGGACATGAACAGTAACAGATGTGCAGAGGTTACTGGTGATTTGATAGATCAACAAGATTTTGATTTGGAGGATGAAGATTTCAACAGCGACCTTTGCTGTGCCTTGGACAGGTCTCTTGATTGCATGAACACAGAAACATTGTCAGAAGCAGGAGAGGATGCTAAAGAGGCGTGTGAAGACATTGTATATAGTCAGGTGGAAAGTGAGTCACATTCATTGAATTTATACGAAGAGTCCATTACAATGACTGGAAGAGAGAATACAAATCATTGGATAAGCGCTTCAGAAATAACACCCCCTGATCAAAAAGATGAGGTCCTTTGGACTGGATACTTGGCTCGTTTCGGTCACTCGTCTTTAAAAAAGTTTCAGAAGGATGCCATACAAGCTGTTCAGCTAACATTGGATTCTATTATAATCCAACCAACGGCAAGTGGAAAGAGCATTTGCTTTCAGCTGCCATCGTTGTTCGACAAAAAGCTCAAAATTGTTGTGATATGTCCAACAATCTCTTTAATAAACTCACATGTTGAAAACCTGAAGACTCACGGAATTGCATCCGCGGTCCTTGGACCATTATCTAGTGCTGCAGCTCTTCAGTCGTTGCATACCTGTGTGGAGGAAGATCTCCCCCCTCTAATTTTTACAACACCTGAATATTTTGTCCACAAAGCAAAGAACGAATTGTTGAAAATTAAATCATCAATGAAATTGCTGGTACTGGACGAAGTTCATAAGATGTTTGATAGAACTTCTAACTTCAGATCCTGTTATGACAGCTTTAAAATGCTTAAAGATGATTTTCTGGGTATTCCCATTATGGCGCTAACTGCAACCCTGGATGACTCACAACTAGTGGATCTAGTCGAGAACTATTTGCGGAGACCTGTGGTTATAAAAGGTAGTGTGAACAAAAAAAAATACGAAACTCAATGTACAATCATACAAAAGGGTTCAAAAAAAAAATGGGGACGAGATGTGGGATGAGGTTGCTAAGGAAATAGCCAATATGATAAACGATGATTACGCCATTGTCTACATGGACTTCAAGGTAGATGTGGAGCGTTTGGTCAAAGGACTTAAAAAGGCTGGATTGAGCGACGTCAAGGCATACCATGGCAGATTGAGCAGTGAGATGAAGAGCAAAGTGGACAATGAATTTAGAAGTAAGGAATTCCAAGTCCTAGTTGCAACTGAGGCATATGAAGTGGGAACTCACAGCCCGCATGTTAATCTTGTTTTAAGAGTAGGATGTATGAGAAATATAGCTGTACTTGTTCAGGAATTTGGACGTGCAGGTAGAAACAATGATTCATCTGATGGCATAATTCTGGCAAACGAAAGCATCGACGACCAGCGCCTCATTTATTGGACAAAAGGTTGTTCTTCGGGTGAAGCAAATGCGAAGAAAACAGAATATGAAAAATGTTGGAGGTGGCTTTATGGACTTCAGGCAGGCACATGCCTCAGAAAAAGTCTCTTGGAAAATTTTGAATCAAGTGACATATTCGAACAGGCCACAAGTGGTGAATGCTGCTCAAGCTGTGACATATCCACATCAAGAAATTTTAATTGCAGGCAAAGTGCTGTGCTTCTCTTAAAAGCACTGGATGAGGTTAGTAAACTTCCTGTAGTCAAATCGGTCAGTGAAGACAAAGTGATTGCCTGGATGAGAGGTTCCAAGCAGGGCTGGATTTCATCTTCTGACATCCAAGAATTTTTAGACTCCTCACAAAGTTATTCGAAGGGCGCAATGCTAAACGGTGCCCCCCTTAAAAAGGAATGGTGGTCAACACACCTTAGAAAACTTGTGCATTTGGGGTTAGTGAAGATTTCATTCAATATTTATAATTTGAAGTGGTTTTCAAAGGCATCGCGATCTTATTCTGCAACAGAGAAAGGGAAGGCCTTCATAGAAAATCCGCACGATCTGTTTGTATTGAACCCAGACGTGTTCGAAGAGAACAAGTCCAAGGGTGCCATGCCTTCTCGGCCGAGAAAATCTGCAAATCGGAGCAAGCACCACCTACCAAAAATCCGAGACTTGTTAACTAATAGGAATAGGTGGTCTGATATCAAAGACAAAGGGTCCTATGAGTATCCTGGTTTCACAGAAACTGACAATTCCATCAGTTACTGTCCAGATATTACAAAAAGAGAGGAGCTGGGGTCTTCCCAAAGGCCACACTTTATGTGGGATGACTGCCAGCTGACAAAGAGGGGTTGTTCAACTCAAAAATTGTTTGTCAAGACAGGAACAGAAAAAACAGAAGTATGGGTCCGGCGTGCCTTCTGTGAGGGAGTAAAGGTGTGCTCGTCTGAGGGCTGCCAATATACTGTTAGTAATCGACAAAGACGAAACAAATGCAGAGATCACTCCTCCAGTCACGCATTAAAACAAACAGGTAATTGTCCAGCACAAATTATCTATTTGTGGCCAGTAGTAGATGACGGAAGGAGGTGGATCGGATGTCTGCCCGGAACTTCTCATAATCATACAAAACCTGCCCCACACCATATCTCGCAATCTGTAAAAGATGAAATTCAGGCTGCGATTCGAAAGGATTGTACTCTCACAACAAAACAGTTACAGAAAGGTCATGGTATCGGATTTATCCCAGCAGAAAAATCACCCGCGGCATCCAATCCTGGGAGAATTAGAAAGGAAAGGCAGCTTGCATTGGAAGGCAGGTCTAAGATGCATCCTGATTTAATTCCACTGCTTCAAGTGATGGAATTCGATGACTTCAGGAAGGAATATGAAAACATACGAGACCCTTCTGTTGACGTGGAATTTTTAGGGAAAGTTAATGAAAAAATGGGAAAGTACCAGATGGAAGGGAGAGAGTACTTGATTTCACCATCAAGAAATTTTGTTTTTTTTGTTGCCCCTTACCAGGCAGACCTGTTAACAGTAACAAAAGATTTATATGTAGACATAACTTACACAAACAATAATGGGTTCCCATATTTACTTAACATGGTAGCCTTCAATGAAAGCACAATGGCATATAATGCGGTCGCAAGGGTGCTTCTAAATAGACAAGATGGAGATGCATACGGAACCGCGATTTCTCAAGTATTTGATCATGTGACTACTAAGCACCCTTTATTCAGCAACGGAAAGAACTTGAGGCAGATTATGGTGGATTTTGACCAGGCTGAATACAATGGGTTTGAACGAAGTATTGGTGCAGGACTGTGTCAAAAGATTATGCGTGGTTGTACTGTTCATTGGAAAACATCAGTTAATCGCATTAGCGACATAGTTACTAGAAGCAAAGAGGAGTGCAGCATCTTTCGCCAAATTGCGCACGGCATACAAGACTTCAAGACAAAAGCTGACGTGAAGGTAGCCTTTGATGTTTTGTGTGGTAAAGGAAAAGTGAGCAATATCAAACATCTGTTAACCCCAAAACAAGCAGCTGTCTGTGATCAGATAACCATTGAACACTGGTCTAAAGCCTCCCACTGGGTGAAATGGTGGTCAAGGGAAAGAATATTACGAATGTTTTGTAAGGCACACACACTAAGGGATAAGGAAGAATGGGAGGAGACTCCCAATACTAACAACCCTGTCGAATCACTAAATCGACAATCCATAGGAGAGGGATGCAGCAACATTTCAGTGTTGATGAAAAATATTTACATGGAAGACAGACTTCATGCAGTCAAGATTGTTGCAAGCGAGCAAAACGTCAATATAAGCTATGAAATGAACACCCAAGAAGAAAGAGAAAAAAAGAGGAAAAAGAGGAAGCGTTCACGATTAAGTTTAAAAGGAGTCGGCAGTTCTCTAAATGACGTTGAACCCGAAATGGAACAGACACCTCCGGATAAGAGACAACGATTAGATAAGCGCTCGTTAAAACGGGACACAAATAAGGAGCGAATGATCGGGACAAGGGTTGAAGTAGAATACGAGGAAAATATAAATGGCGAAGTGAAGTACCTTGGTTGGATTAAGGGCACCATCATGGATTATGATAAGTCAAAAGGGTATCTAGTGCAATTTCCAGATGACTTGGACTGGATACCAGATCTAAACAGCAAGGACGTAAGAATAATAATTTAGAACATATTATGACAGTGCTACAGCTTATAGGTGTGAGAAGTGGCCACAGAAACGGAATTCAGGATTAAAGGATACATGACATTATATTAATATCATTGGGTTAACTTGACTGAGGAAGTTTTGCTCAAACTTAGTAGAGGCACCTACATTGAAACGTTCATGTACTTGATTGAGGATGCCGTTGCAATTGAGAAATTTGGACAAACAACTCAATCAGCATTTTTTTCGATGTGCAGCAGAGTAATTCCATTTCTAATATATATACCACATCGAAAAATAAAGTGTTGATTATAATCACGAGTGACCTAAACAATGTGCCTAACATAATAATTATAAAGCCGAAATCACACAGTGAGAGAATACCAATAATAGATCAAGGAACTATAAAACATGGGATACCTCTGCTGTACCTCAAAAATTGTGTTGGGATGCTGCAAACCACATCAAATAATAAAGTGTTGATTAATCATCAGTGACCTAGACAACAGGCTCACTTCTCTTAGGCTTGTTTCAAACGTCGTGCTATTGCCGTTCTCATTTGGCTCGACTTCCGCACGACTGTGGCAAGACTAGATTTTAAACGTCGAATTTAACTCAGACGAATAAAATAGCTGTTGCGGAAAACTAAAACTTACAAATAAAAAGCGGTTTAACGAATATTTAAAATGTCTTCTTTTGTACCTATAATTTATGAATCGAGTTGGGCAAGGAAGTAGCAAGACGTTTGAAACCAAGTCGTGCTACTGTGGTGTAGCACAGCAAGCTTTGCCGTGCTACACGGCAGTGGCACGACTTAGTTTCAAACGCCGTGCTACTGCCGTGCTAAAGTAGATCAAACGAGTTCGGCACGGCAGTAGTACGACGTTCGAAACAGGCCTTAGTTTAAACTTCAGCATTAACTGTTCTACTAATATAAAATGGGTAACTTTTTTTTAAAACACGCTATATGACATGCAATACTTAAGTCGTTGCATCTGCGTGGTCGACGTTGCTAAATTTTCAAGTGATATGCCAGTTGTTGCTTATTTCTCAAGCAAAAGTTTATTGAACTTTTACTCGTTACAATAGCCATTTACTGTTTTTGCAAAACTCGTATTTAATAATAAGTTTTTTTTGAAGGTAGATATTAAGATAAAACTTTGCAAATCAGTGCAAAATACAATTTATTTTCACAAAACATAATGAACAGTGCTATCGAAACAACCGTCTTTATTGTAAAAACAATATGTTGTGTCTGTTAATGCTTATCAGGGAATCAAGGATCAAATCTGATCCTTCTTTCAGCATGTTAGTTTTAAAAAGCTAAAAGGAATGAAGCATACATTTTCATTATCGACAAGAGCAAATAAAATAACCATGTTAGATATAATTACCTGAACACTAAATTGTGTGTTGCATATTGATTAATTCCACAGGTTAGAAATTTTAGAATCCATGCTTTTGTGCTAGATAGTGTTGCTAAGAATTAAGGACATAATAACACAATGTTACTATGTTTATTATTGTGTGGTTCCAGGAAATCCCCATCACCCCATCAGGGAAGGTTTTATGGGTTGAATCCCCCTCCCCTCCGGAAATTCCAGTTTAGCTCCATATTTTCCTTTGAAAACTTTTCCCTTGAGATCCCCTTGGAATTTCCAAAAATCTTCCTTGGTAGGTTCATGCATATTTTCTGGAACCACACATCTCTAGAACTTCTTGAAAAATAAATAGAGAATAAATTGGAAAAAAAATGCATGAGAATCAAGGTTTTGATATTTATTGGACTTAATGAGGTGAGGCTATATAATTTATCAATAATAAACCCACTGAAAATGAAAGTGACCTTAACGACTCTCTTTTTAAATGCAGCTGCAATTTGAAACCTTAAATGTCTGATCGAGAACTTGCATGCACTTTCTCATTGTTTCCAACTACATTACCATTATGATACCACTAATGCATATATTCACCGCACACAATTGAAAATAAAAAATTAACGCGGGAATATAATTGAACAAAAACGTATTTACTGCTCTGCAATTGATGATGTTGTTACTTTAATCTTTAAGGTTGATGAGAGGGGAGTCTACTCATCCTTTCTTCAAGCAAATCTGATTACTGATATCATACCTAAAAATGCCAAGAATATGCCTCTTGCAGGTGTCAAACACCAAGCTATAATGAGAAGACTGTGATGGAAGACCATCCTCAGGTCTCCAGAGCGCATAAGCAGAGATAAATTGATGGTTATACATCATTAGTAAGGCTACTTTACATTTGATCACCAAACACAGGTTGCCGAATTTGCAACTTTTGATTTTGCATTGACTACCTATTAAATATTTTTCCAATTGCCATGGCAACTGAAAAGGTATCAGCTTGCGACGCTGTTACCCATGATTGTCTTCTACAAAGTCATTTTGAAAAAACAGTTGATGTCGTAATCGAAATAGAACCTCATGATACTTTTCAATTCAGGGTGTCTATTCCAGAAAAGGAATAGATGGCATAATCCCTAGAATTCATTGAATGAATATTTTGTTTTTGCATTCTTTACAAAGTAGCTTATCGAAATCTACTTGAGGTAAGATATTGCGATACTATCAGCATTCCAGTGTTCCAAAAATCCTAGCAGATGAGAGTTGCGAGAACTTTGGGGTATTCTTATTCCATACGATGAGACAAACACACCCTCAATTGACAAGAACAATTCGAGAAAAAAATTTGGTCAACAACTTAATGAAGTGTCTTGATGAAAAGAAAAAAATCTGGTGGAAAAGTCCTAAATGAAATGGATCCTCTCAACGGCCCGCCTTACACCCAATACAAAAATGGCCACCAACTTAAATACTCTTTGTTTACATTAAAATGAGCCTGGCTAACCATGTTCTCAGGATAAAAATTCAAAAGAATGTATTTTTTAAAAAAAAGCTTACTCAGGGTGATTTTAATACAAACAAAAGAATATAAAACTAGTGGCCATTTTTTAATTGGATGTACGATATTATTCATTTCAATGTACGTGAACAACTTGATGATTTAACTACAAAAAAAGGTCAGCAACTTCAAACTCACAGAGAAATATCTGATAAACACTTCCTAATCATAAATTGGAAATTCTGATGATCCATAGTATTCTTCAATTTAATTTACACGAACAATTGACGTATTAACCATTCACAAATAAAAAGAAATTGGTCAACAACACTAACAAGAATTATTTACAGGTACCTTGATATCTGTCAATAATAAAATATTTCTTGTAATGAAAAAAGTGGTTCTACGGTAGTGATGCCATATTTTCGTGAAGTAGAAGTACATTCTATAATTCATTCTGTGCAAAATATATTTTTAAAAACTTCTAACTTAACCAGGAGATGTGCTTTTTTGTTTTAAGATCTAGTTTTGATATTTAGCGATTATTTAATGAGGCTGAGTAGGATATGAAGAATTCAATGGAATTCTGCAGAGCGAGGAGGGTGTTAACTACAGATACCGCAGTTAACGAAAAATGGTTAAGTGCGAGATTTTTTTTTTCACTGTGTAAACAGACAGAAATTTCGCAGTTAACGGAAAATAGTTAAGTGCGACATTTGAGTCTTTTACTAAAAACAGAGAGAAATTTCGCAGTTAAGGAAAAATAGTTAAGTGCAACATTTGAGTCTTTTACTAAAAACAGAGAGAAATTTCGCAGTTAAGGAAAAATACTTAAGTGCAACATTTGAGTCTTTTACTATAAACAGACAGAAATTTTGCAGTTAAGGAAAAATATTTAAGTGCGAGGTTTGTGTTTCTTACTTTTAACAGAGAGAAATTTCGCAGTTAACGAAAAATAGTTAAGTGCGAGATTTGTGTTTCTTACTATTAACAGAGAGAAATTTCGCAGTTAAGGAAAAATAGTTAAGTGCAAGATATGTGTTTCTTACTATTAACAGACAGAAATTTCGCAGTTAAGGAAAAATACTTAAGTGCGAGATTTGTGTTTCTTACTATTAACAGAGAGAAATTTCGCAGTTAAGGAAAAATACTTAAGTGCGAGATTTGTGTTTCTTACTATTAACAGAGAGAAATTTCGCAGTGTAAAGGAATAATGGTTAACTTCGAGATTTGAGTCTTTTACTATAAACAGACAGAAATTTCGCAGGTAAGGAAAAATAGTTTAGTGCGAGATTTGTGTTCTTTCATGTTAACAGAGAAATTTCGCAGTTAAGGAAACATAGTTATGTGCGAGATTTGAGTCTTTTCCTATAAACAGCCAGAAATTTGGCAGTTAAGGAAAAATAGTTATTTGCGAGATTTGAGTCTTTTACCATAAACAGACAGAAATTTCGCAGTTAAGAAAATAGTTAGGTGCGAGATTTGTATCAGTGTAATTAATATGTATTTAGAGTACGTAAAACCTCGCGATTAACTAATTGCAAAATTTTGCTTCGTATATATGAGTGAGTAAAAAACTCGCAATTAATTAATTGCGAAGTTTCACTCTGTATATATACAGAGTCGTTAATTTGCGAATTTTTGTTTGTGTCTGTAGAGATACTTAAATGCAAAATTTGCATTTATCAAATCACCGACTTCACGTCCATTCAGCGCAAATGCCCGTTTTACTCTAACTATGAGAAGAAAGCAGAAAAGTATGAAAACACATGCAACAATATGGGAAGTCCAAATAGTCAGAGCATTCATTACACGAAACTTGAATAACGATACCAGAAAAAATCATGTCACAGGTAAACGGGGGAATAAATATAATGGTGATAAGCACAGCGCAAATACATTGTACTTTCACTCACCGATCGTCGACTCCGCTTTGAAAGTGTTTCAGAGAATTTTTCCCAAATGGTTGGAAACGTCCCCTTCTTCAAATTCCTTTTCATGTCTTTAATCGGAAAAGCAAGCGTAAAACAAGCCTAAAATGCTCCGATCACACAGCAAAGTTTCCCACTGGGTTGAAATCCTTCCGATGAATGGACACGAACCTTTTCCACTTTAATCTAACGCTGCCCGAATCAGGAGAA